TAACCATAAACTAATCATACAACCATACAATTAACCATAAACAAATCATCATACAACCATACAATTAACCATACAACCATACAATTAACCATAAACCAATCATCATACAACCATACAATTAACCATACAATCATACAATTAACCATAAACCAATCATCATACAACCATACAGTTAACCATAAAAGAATATCACCAAATTTCAGATGGTAACTCCCAATTGTGGATCCGATCCTTCAATATAATACTTCCAACCTCTGAATTTGCTAAACTTCACCTTTATTCTAGATCTTAAGATTTCATGTGAAAGAACAACTTAAAATATGTCATTTTAAAGTGACTTTTTCTCTAGGGGGTATATACATATAAACACATTTTATTTATGATTTTAATTTTGATCGTGCAGAATCTCCCCCATAGGAATTTCAAAAGTTGAGAAGCATGACATATCATTATTGCAATGGATTAAATGTATACCTTATTCATTGTCAATATGACGAGCAGTGACAATCTTTTTGTCATTTATATGCCTAGTTCTCCACCATACTGGACGACAGGGAAATACAATATATCCTTCTCCTTCGCCGTGACTGTCACTTCCCTAAATCGACTAGCTCAGGATTTGCTGATGTAGCTTACATCTACATTACAAACTTAGACCTATGGTAGGTTAATTGCAAAATTATGTTTTTATTATCACAGCATGCATGTGAATCCTTTAATTAGGTGCTTTGATCTGCTTTGTGGTATCACTATGGTGTAGATATATGACTTTGCACAATTGGTACTTTATATCAAAATTCCACCTGCATATTACTGCTTGGGCATATTGATCATTAATATCAGCAATTCACCTTATAATAAAATCCCCAAACAAGAATATATTTTTCTCTTAACTCTCATGGGAGGAAAAGGGAAACAGATTAAAATGCATAAAACATGTAAAACAAACTGAAGAATGCTGTGAAAAATTTATTTGCATAATTTATCGCGAAAAGGCTGATTGGAATTTTGTGATAATTTGATATCTAAAATGCAAGCAATGCTACTGTCTGGTGATGTGTAGAATCAATAGTTGTCTAGTCTCGAAGGGGTGGCAAAGCTAGGCTGCAACAGAAGTGCATTCAAGGTGATTCTCAAACATTTCATTCTCTCAACATCACAATACGTATATCTCGCCAAGTCTCCGCAGAGCAGACCTTCCTCCTATCGGCTCAATCATATTTTGATCTCATTTTCTCTAAATCTTACAGTAAATCTCTTATAGTCAAAATATATCTCTAAAAGTCTGTAAGTATATAACAGCAAACAATCATTAATTTCCTACAAAACGTCTTCACTTCAAAGCAAAATGGTTATGTTTGTATGTATGTACTAGTTTCTCAACATTTCGTGTCTACAGCAAAAAGTTTCAATCTTACGAGTTCAATGAGTTTGTAATATACAATACTAGACCTGTGCATACATTAGTCTGTCTGTGAAATATGTATATATATAGAACTAATTTAAAATATCAATTGGTTTAAAAGACAAATTTGTTAGATTTTTTTCTACAGATAAATCTGATCTAAAGTACAAGGTATCTTGTTGGCTGATCCCTTGTCTGAAAACGTAGGTATAGGCCAGGTATTGCGTGCACTCATGTAAACAGCTGTCATACATGTGTGCATGTGTGCATGTGCATACACACGTGTGGCTGAGGGGGCATATTGGGGTTGAAAGGTAAAGGAGGCACTAAGGTCATCTGTAGGGGCATAGTGAGGACGCAGGTTTAACGGGGTACTTATATTAGGGTCACCCTACAGTAGATGTTAAGTCGGTATATAGGGTTATAGAGGCACTACAGGGTCACCAATAGGTGTTAGGTCAGTATATAGGGTTAACGGGGCACTACAGGGTCACCTGTAGATGTTAAGTCGGTATATAGGGTTATAGGGGCACTACAGGGTCACCTGTAGGTGTTCAGTCAGTATAAAGGGTTATAGGGGCACTACATGGTCACCTGTAGATGTTAAGTTGGTATATAGGGTTATAGGGGCACTACAGGGTCACCTGTAGGTGTTCAGTTGGTATATAGGGTTATAGGGGCACTACATAGTCACCTGTAGGTGTTCAGTCGGTATATAGGGTAATCAGGGCACTACAGGGTCACTTGTAGGTGTTTAGTTGGTATATAGGGTTATAGGGGCACTACAGGATCACCTGTAGGTGTTCAGTCGGTATATAGGGTAATCAGGGCACTACAGGGTCACCTGTAGAGTACAACCTTTTTAGAGATTCTTTATACTCCACTCTACAAAAAGGTTTGACCATGATCATGACCTTTCTATAAATATCTTATTCAAATTAATCCAGTTTTGAATTTATTTTCTTTTACAGGACCAAGAAAAAATTTCCAACTCATTCATATGTTAAAAATTTGAACTAAGTTTAAATAGGGTTTCAAATTCTCTATGCAGGTGAAGGTGAAATAAGTGAGTTATCATAACTACATAATTTATAATATGATAGATAATATATCTATACAGCTGATATAAACCTATATCACTTATTTTATAACTAAATGTATATCCTAGGATTTCCTATAGTTGCTGTACCTACAACAGTTTGAAAACTCTTTTTCACAGAAAGACCCTAACATAACACTTTAACCTATCCCAAATACTTTGATATCATTCACTTTTGTATCACCCTCATCAACCACAATTAGAATGGTTAACATCAGTGAAGCGCCTCAGTCTGTTGTGGTTTCCAGAGATAAACAAACTTCTTCTCGTTGGACACCTTCATCTACATGTAAGAAATTATGCAAGTTATTTCCCCATCCCTATAATCCTGTTTTCGTTTTCAATGCCTTCCCATCCTCTGCCAGAAATACACAGTACATCAATCTATAGCCGAGCTGATGCTGCTGAACACGTCACATTAATAATTGAATTATGCTGTGGAAATTCTGTTAAAATTTGAGATATATGCCAGTGGTTCCAGGGTCTACATTAAAACACAAAATGGCAGGTAAAAGTTATAGCAGCACTAACAAATACAGCTATTAAGCAACCTTCCAGCTATTTCAGTTCATATGCACCAACAGAGGATAAACTAAATCGTGAAGTGTCGCTTGCTCCTTCTGGATTAAGAGATGATTGAGACAGAATTCAGTAATACAGAATCAGCACCACTGTGGGTCCAATATCAGCACTTGTTGACACATGCATGCCAACTAAACATAAATGGTACCAGACACTTTCAAATCTAAAAACAGGTTTGCCATCAATTGGTTTGTTTGTGTTTTACGTCCTATTGACAGCTATGGTCATTTAAGGACGTGCCAGGTTTTGGTGGTGGAAGAAAGCCGGAGTTCCCAGAGAAAAAACATCAACCTACGGCCAGTACCTAGCAACTGCCCCACGTTGGCCTCGAACCTGCAACCGAGTGGTGGACTAGGGCTAGTGGTAGCAGAATGACAGACGCCTTAACCACTTTGCCACCGCGGCCCCTCCATCAAATCAAA